CGAACAAATCCTCCTCTCCCGCTCTCAGAACAATCAAACGCGTCGCGCTGATCTACACACTACCTGCGATTCCAATTCGCGGTCTGCTGACACCGCGTGCCGAGAGCTATCTTCGCAACGCACCAGTACGTCCCGCATCTGTCCTGACAAACAAACATCAGCTACTTATGATCCGGCAGCTCAGTCCTTCGTGCGGCGGCATGCCGGCCAACAGACAAACACGTCCACAGACAGACAAACATCTGCGGGTAGTACAGATAAATAGAAATACGTATTATCAACATGTTGACGTACCAATAAATATAAATCATCACAATACGCGTGGTGCGCCTAGAAACATTCTCAGTTCACGTGTGAACTATGCATGGATATGCTTCATCTTGTAACCGGCCCTACAAATCGCGCAAAACATTAAAAAAACCGCATTTCCCGTGATTTTAATTATATAGCCTAACTTAGTACTATTCCCCATAACAAATTTGCATTTCCTGCCGCACAATCTGCACAGCGAGAGAGAGTAAGGAAAAAATCGACAATGCATTTTCGCTGTCCGAAAGCACTTTAAATTTTTACGAAGCCTGATTGCTCCATCGTGACTTTTCTTTCACAAAGAGAAAAAAGAAAGAAATATTGACGGGCCACGGAAAATACTATAAAACAGAATCTGAGGCGAATAAACCTATAATACCTTCGAACCACGCCTACAACTCGCCGTCCGCCACCCGCACCTCTTGCCACTACCCTGTTCGCTAATACGCCCTCAACATCGGCTTTCGCCGCGCCCATTACCGATACGCTAGGACACAACCGGGCATAACAGAATGCAAAATTGAGAACTTGACACAACACCATCGTTCTCCTCCGTACTCCCACCTCCGCTGGATCCACTCCGCACTACGCACAAAATAATTGTAATCGCCCCAGCACCGAAAAACATTCTCCCGCCGCTCGCCAAACATACACCTAAACCCTTTACCTCCCCAGAAGATAACTCCTCCGTAAACAACTACCCCTAACCCATCACAACTCTGTGCTCGGCATCGTCCGGTCGCACACTGTCTACTTCATACAAAGGTTTCCTGCAAACACGCCGCCCGCCGCCCCCGCGCGCTTCGGCACGACGGCCGCTCCCGGCCACGTCTCTTACAAGCAGTAAACGCCCCCTCATCCATTTGCGCGCAGACCGTTTCCTCAGCAGTTAGTCGCATCTCTAACCACACTACCATTAAGACACCAATCTCATTCCCGGTCTTGCTCCGTCAGCACCAGACAGCGCAATTTCAAAGTTCAGATCCAATAAATGAATTCCCACTTAGTCACAAGCATTCGAGCCATTCACCGAGCAAACACTGCACGCTCTTCGGCCGAGATAAATCGTTTTGTAGCATCCATCTCCCGTTCCCTCTGCCTGCAGCCCCGCATCTGATATTACTACACACGGTAGTCTTGAATGAAACTCAGCCGTTCCTTAGTGATCATCACCTCTAACAAACTAGTCAATGATTTCCTAACAATATTTGACAGCCCCTAGTACTGCCGCAACACTAAATCTTAACGAACATGCCCACTCCATCGTCCCACACCCATTCAGGCGCCCTGATCCCCGTCTCGGATCATCTCTCACCCCAACCCTTACCTTCCGACTAATCCCGGCCGCTCTCCCTGACATCCGGAAAATGCATTCTTCATACCTCGCCACACTATCTCACCCGCACCGCCTCCCCACCCTAAGGCTCGGAGTACAGACCCGCCCGGTCCCAGGACTTCCCGACACGACCGCCTCAGGCTCTCTCGGGCACCCCCCGCGTCTGGCCCGCCGCCCCCCGCCACCACCTACACAAGCACGCAGTCAACGTAAACATTGACACCACCCACAAATCTACAGCGTCCCCCTCGAAGCTCCTTTATACTCTACACTGCGCCTCCCATAAACATCCCCCACCTTCTATATTCAACCATCTCCGCATCCTATAAACCCTCACTATATTGAGCTGTACCACGCCCTACCCCTCCATACGCCAATAGACCATATCCTCAGCAGATTCTGCCTCACTGACACGCCTCGCCCGAATTTAAACGCAATTCCAAACACTGCTCAGCCCGGCCCGCTGAGCAAACCTACACACTCGGTATCGCCGCAACCCATCAATTCCCCCAGCCGATCACTCTCTGCTTTCCACTCAAGTGCCCGATCCCCGCCGAATGCCCGAACTCGCTCACAGTTTATACCAAGGAACTAGCTCTACCGTTGCCTACCGCGTCTCCACCTTACTCAGCTTGTTCGTGACCGCCCGTTATCCCTTACCAGCATCCGTACCACCGCGAAGACTCTGACCCGCCTCTCCCTGATGGGCGTAGTAAACCACTATACCACGCTGCCACCTCTACTCTGACCTTACTAATCCACTTCCCGAGCCACTGATGACACCGACGTCTCCTCACTGAGCACCCCCACAACTACTGCGCGCCAATCACCCCACGCTCCCACCTCCCTCCAAATAACGCCACCACCTTGCCCGCTTCACCCCTCGACTCATCCGCAATCTGCAGCAAATCCTCCACCCGCTGATTAACCCTCCTCGCCCGTCCGCCTCATCACGATTTCCCTACCTACCCGAACGCAACAACACGATTATCCCTATGACCATCGCAAAGCCTGCTTCGTTCCGACCTCCCCACGCGCCTACGCACACTCCGCATACTCCCGAGGCTCAACCTCATTAGAAAATCACAGTACCCCCCGTCGAAGGAAATCTGACCAGTCTGCCCATTACTCTGTTAAAAAACTAGGCCTACCCTATAGCGCTCGTACCCCCAGAAAGCAAAAACATTCTCATTACCCGTCAGGCCATACTAATGTCACCGCCAACCCCGCCCCGTCTCCTACAGCCTACACTCATAGTACCCGTACAATGAATACTGAGCTAAACTCACCATTCATCCAGCTTCTTCTCTGTTTACTTGCCGCTTGAACAGGCAACGAAACATGAACAAGGCAGCACACGTTTCCTTGCACGTTGCCTTAAACATGCCTGAAGCGTAGCTCCACAGAAACGTATGGCCGAGGACTCATAAAGCCATCCTCCGTTGTATAAACAATCCGTCCACCGCCTGGTCCGGCTAGCGTAATCCGTTGGCCAGAACGTCTCAAACATAGTACGCAGCCGAATACAACTTTCCTCTAAACAGTTCCACTGTCATTTTCTAATCTACTTCCATTTCATCTCAATCCAATGCTATTGACTGTTTATCCTTACAACCCGAAACTGATAATCTAGAGACCCACTCCGAATCAGGTTTCACACATCTCCATTGTACAACGCTTGGCAACGGATAAACAACGGCTGATGCCTACCCATACGTCAACACCTACTCACGCACGAAAAGTAGGGGCGCTTCGTTCCATCACCGCAAATTGCTTTACCTTCAACATCCAACAAAATATTGTTTCTCATACACCCCGAAAACCACTCAACCTTAAACTTTCCCCAGTAGTTGCTAGCATAACATCAGTACTCTTAATAAACTAATTTTTCAATCCACTAAAGGGAGCCTTTAAATATGGACTTAAGCTTGTGGCGCCACACCGCTTTAACTGCCATAAACAACGTACAAGGCATCACTTGTTTCCAATTCATCCACCCGGACACAAATAACAAGTTTACCAATTCTGCCATTAGGCATATGATACGATAAAATTCATTGCTGTTAAGAACTGTGTCAAATGTAATTTTGTCTATGCATAACTCCAACATAATCTCTGATATCTAGCTCAGCTGACAAGTCAGATGCAGCTTGTAAACATCGCATGATTGTCCTCCGTCCGTACGTCCGTGGCGTCGCTGCCCCGTGCCATCCACAGTTTGGGGCCCACAAATTTAACCGCTCGACGTTAGCGTCTTGATATCGGCGACGTCGGGGATGCGAATTTGGGGATCAAGGTCAAGGGGTCAAGATATGTCAATAGAAGGGGGAATATATTCGCCCCCCTTAACTTAAGGTAAGGAGCAATACGGAATGGCGACACAAATCTCAACGCTCGACCTATACGCTCTTAATATTCGATGGAGTGTGATGGGAGAAAACCCATCACCACGCGAAATTGAGTCACAGGTCAAACGGCAGTGGGGGAAAGTCAACTATCAGACCCTTTTCTGAGGCACATGTCCTAACGACCGAGTTCTTGTTTTCACGCTGACCTAGCGGAGATGCACTTATTGAAAGACCATGAAATCTACTTTCCCGCTGACCGTGCGAAGAGTAAAGTGTCGTGATAACTTTTGACCGCCTACAAGAGAGGTTAACATAGATTGTTGACGTAACAGAAATTCAACTGCTTTGCTATAAGCCCCCCCTCACCACCACACTCTGGCAAAATCCGCATAACCGTGAACCTCTACGTTTACTAAGATTAAACACGAAGAATGAACAACGTGCTCCCGTACTGTCAACGGTCGCCTATCACGGATGCTCAATTGTTTTCCGCTTACATTCGTGTCCAAAACTACTATCGCGGACCGGGGGACGTGACCGACTTCTAAACGTGTAAACATATCTAACAACCTAGCATGCAATACTCCCTGATACCATGTAATGATAAACTTGTATTTGTGTCGGTGATGCATTGAAAACAAGTGCATGCCTGTACATTGACAATTGTCTATGGCAGATAAGCGGTGGCGCCACAAGCTAATCCATACTTTAATTCCAAGCTACCTGTTAGTTCAAGATGACAGAAAACGAATGTTTACAAAAACGATTAGTTCGAAACTGGCAGTTTTCGGTGAATACGAAGGTTCTAAGACATTTTATTGTTACTCTAGACAATTGCTGTTACTCAAGCAATAACTTTAGGTGTCATGAAAGTGGTGAAAACACTGGAAAACTCTCGCAATGGTTACTTTAAACTGCGTGCGCGCAAATGCCTACACGTGACCGCACACGTGTATGAGTTATATATGTACGTTTCAGTTCTGCTAAATTTAGTTTATGTTTGCGAGCGGAATGAATTCGCTCGTTTAAAATTCTTTTTGTAGATCAGCATGGATGATTGGCAAGCTCAATTTGAGCCATTCCTGCTAGTTGCGTTTTACATGCGAACTGTATATAGCAGGCGAGCGAGCGTGTGTGTATTATAGTTTATTCGCTCAGATTCATGTTTTTTATATTATTTTCCGTAAGCCCGTCAATAATTTTCTTTCTTTTTTCTCTTTGAAAAAAATCCAACAGATGAGCAAACATCAGGCTTCGTAAAAATGAAAACTGCTTTCGGCAGCGAAATGCATTTCGATTTTTTCCTATATTCGTTAGAAATGTGCAATTGTGCGGCAGGAAAATGCAAATTTGTTATGCACATATACTAAGTTAGGCATACTAATACATTAAAACTACACGGGAAATGCGGAAGATTATTTCTTCATAACTAATAGTTATGCGCGATTTCGTAGGGCGTACACATGCAACATACTACATGCATAGTTTACACACGTGCTGAAATGTATCTAGGCGCACCCACGCGTATATGTGCATAGATTTATATTAATTGTACGCAAACATTTGATAAATACGTATATCTATTTATCTGTCTACCCGCAGATGTTTGTCTGTCTGCTGGCGTGTTTGTCTGTCTGCCCGCATGCCCGCCCGCCCGAAGGAACGAGCTCCGATCATAATATATGATGTTTGATTTTCCAGACAAGATGGCGGGACGTACTGGTGCGTTGCGAAGAATAGTCTCGGCACGGTCGTCAGCAGAAACGCGACATTGGAAATCGCAGGTACGTGTGTAATCAGCGACGCATTGATTGCTGAGAGCGGAGGAGGAGAGGATTTGTATCGGGGCGCGAGTTAATTAGAGTAAGCTCTAGGAGGAGGAGATCTCGCATTCAGCCACGCTATGAATAAGTCAGTCAGCAGCGTTCGAGCGTTGCGCGCGGCTACACGGTTGCATCGCAGCGGAAAATATCGCGGCTGTAGCATTGTAGAATTCCGCCCCCCATGGAAAACGCCCGCCTCATACATTGCGCATGGGCAGAAAATATAGCGGGCACATCATGGATTCTTGCAGCGGAGCGGTTGATGCGGGAGCGGGGCGGGGCTGCTGGGTGGACATGACGGGTTGATGCGGGAGCGGGGCGGGGCTGCTGGGTGGACATGACGGGCTGATTCACGCCACCTTCCCGCTCGACAAAACGCAGTTTTAGCTTGGTAAATTGAACTCGTTGTTAACGCATGTAAATCAGATGCTCCGCCCACGCGGCTACGTCACCGGTTCACACCGTGACGGGCTGACGCGTCATCGGGTCTTGCCGTGACGGGCTGACGCGTCATCGGG